TGGTAAATTTTGGTTAAAATCACACACACACACACACACACACAGACACACACACACACAGACACACACACACAGACACACACACAAAAGCCTAGCCCCTTTCCAAAATAAAGACTTTTATAAACAGCATACATTGCTTTTAAGATCCACTCTGCCATTCCCTTTTTTAAAAAATTATCATTAAATTTTATTCATTTTAATGAACATTTACAGAGATTTTGGGTTTTCATTCATTCATTGTTGCACTGTTCGCTCTACCCTCCTCCCCAGTTTGTTCTTCTTCCCCTGCCCCCGAATGTCTGTTTTAATTGTCCAATTGCCACAGTGCTTGTCAAAGCCAGTTCTGTTTAATCTCCTTTGTCAGTGTGTCCTTTGCCATTCCCTATCAATCCTCCGTGAGAGAGACTTCCCCCTGATTCATAAGGAAAAGGGGATGGCTCTCTTAGCCACTTCCTGCTGAAAAGGGACGCTGTGGGTTTCAGGGTGAAGATCTTCTCTCACTACTCTAAAGGGCCCCTTTAGCAGTAGGAAACACATAGACTATTATGGAGATTGATTTTGGAATTTAGATGCACTATTATCAGTTGTGCTTAGCCGTACATGTTCATATCCTTGAAGATATATCATGGAAGTGTTGCAACCTAGAAGACACAAATTTAACTAGCAACTTAAAAGTACATGCGTCAAAAATTAAAAAGCAATAATATTCCAAGTAGAGGTTCTAATAGTGGCACAAGTCAAGTTACAGAGGGAAGGTGGTTCTTACAATAAAAGGCCTATAGGCTAGCACTTTGTCTATTATAGTGTAGAGGTTAGGAACCACAAGATGTAGAGGCCCAGCTATGTCATTTATGGTTCTTAAGTCCTGGAGCAAATTCCATCTACCACTGGGTTGTTTTACAACTTGGAAGTCCACATGCAGGGCAGAGTGAAGTAAGGAACTGCTTATGAGGTTTTCTGTCCATTCCAACAACTAAGAAATCGTGAGAAGAGTTGGGACCTCAGAAGGCTTTTAGGACCAATTAGTAAGCTCTGTGTCCAGGAGAAAATGAATATACTTACCAGTAATGTTAATGCTCACCCACAGCTCTTCTGGGAGGATCAAAATCGTTGATCTGCCACTCCCTTTTGATTGAGATTTTTAATACATTTACTGTAGTTTGGATAAAAAACCCAAACCACAGTCTTTACCATTGAATTGAATTGAGGGTCACTATGATTGTTCGTAATGGTCACTAATCACTAATGATAATTGGTGACTGGAATGCAAAAGTAGGAAACAGTGAAGAAGAAACAGTAGTTGAAAAATATGATAGAAATGTAGCTGGAAATAGAATGATTGAATTTTTTATTTACAATGATATACAAAAGATGACTTTATATGTAGATCTCATCAGATGGGTTGCATAGGAATCAGATTGACTACATTTGTGGAAGAAACCATTGGAGAAGCTCAATATCAGCAGTCAAAACTAGGCCAAGTACAGACTGTGGGTCAGATCATCAATTACTCATATGCAAATGTAAATTGAGGCCGAAAAAATTTAAATTAAGTCCAGAGGAACCAGCATATGATATTGAATCAATTCTGTCTGAATTTCATGTTCATCTTAAGAATAAAAATGGATGTCAGAAGAGACTCTGAGAATTGCACTGGAGCATTGAGAAGACAAAATTGAAGGAAAACATGTTGAAGTGAAAGAACTGAACAGACAATTCCAAAGGGCAGCTTAGGAGGACGAAGCAAAAAGTATTTTAATGAAATGTGCAGAGAGCTGGAATTGGAGAATGGAAAGTAAAGAACTTGCTCTGCATTTCTCAAGCTGAGAGAACGGAAAAACAAATTAAAACGTTGTGTCACAATATTGAAAGCTGCTATGTGCAATGTATTGAATGACCCAGAAAGCATCAAAAGAAGATGGAGGGAATACAGTCACTGTACCAGAAGTAATTGATTGACACTGAAAAATTTCAGGAAGTCCCCATATGAGCAGAAGCCAATGGTAATGAAGGAGGAAGTAGTAGCTGCATTGACGGCATTGGCAAAAAATAGGGCCCCAGGAATCATTGACATACCAGCTGACTTGTTGTAGTTAACAGATGCAGCCTTGGATGCACTCACCTGACTATCCCAAGTGAGACTTTAGCGGTGAGAACACAGGCAATGGCATTTCGAGCAACCCGGATTTTGGAGAGTTTAGAACATGCACTACCTTTGGCAATGCATAGCTGGGAAAGCTCCACTTTCAGATTGTCCAGCTGTTTCAACAGCTCTTCCTTCTTGCCGTGAAGGTCCTGAGCCTTGATTTTGGCCATGGCTGAGCTGAAGAACCTGGCTGCTGCCTGATCCAAGCCCAAAAGAAAGAGTGCCATAAACCTTTTTGTGCATTAGCTGTCCATCTTTCTCCTATGTAGCTCTTGGTGGGTTTGAACTGTTGACCTTTTTTTTAAAAAAAATATTTAATATTGATTTGCATACAAAATTTGTATACATTGAGTTTCATTTATATACATTGTGGTTCCTACAGTCCTGTATTCACATTGTGTTTCACAGTTGACCTTATTAGTAGCGCTATACCACCAGTGCTCCTCAGTTGCTAATAATCGCCTTAATTATTAGTACATTGCTATCTGAGTGTCCTTGGCCTTTATCTGTTCTTAATATTGTTTCATCAGTTTATAGTAGTGAGCTTTTGTGTCATCCCCCCCTTTTTTTGTGTGTGTGTTTTTGATCAATTTTCTTAGTAGTTACCAGGATTGCTGTCTTTAAGAGGTTATGGTACCAACTTGATTTCAGTAGCTTCTATGAAAATCTGTATCTTGTCACCAGCAGCCAAGGAATCAAAAGATGGTTTGCTCTAGGGAAAGCTGCTGTCAGAAACCTCTCTAGTAGTCTGGAGACTAGAGTGCACCTGAGTCAGTCCATGATCTTTTCAGTTACTTGCTGTGCATCAGAGAGCTGGACAGTGACTAGAGGTGACAGATGACTTGATGCCTTTGAAGCTGTGGTGCTGGAGAAGAATGCTGAACATACTGTGGGCTGCCAAAAGAACATACAGATTTATCCTGGAGAGGCTAAAACATGAAGCTCTGTCTCACATACTTAGGCCATGTTTCCAGGAGGGAAAAGTGTCTGGGAGAGTGAGGGACAGTGTGGGAGAGGAAGACTGGATGAGATAGATTGATACCGTGGCTGGGGCAGTGGCACCAGGTGTGTTGGGGACAGTGAGACTGGCTCAGGACAGGGAAGGGTTCCAAGCTGTGGTACACAGGGTTGCTATGAGTTGCAGGCAAATTGATGACACATAACAAACTTTCCCCTTATTTTTTTTACCACTAATTATGTGTTTATATGTCATTTTTCCTGTACCATATATTTTTGTTGATTCTTTTTTTACCAGACCCTTTATTATTTATAGATAAAAAGCCCTTTTGTCTAACTTCTAAAAACATGTATAGTATTGAATCTTCATTAAAAAGGACTGCTAGAACCTGTAGGAGTCTTGGTTGTGTTGTAGTGGTCAGGTACTCAGCTGCTGATGGAAAGCATAGTGGTTTAGAACCCCAGCAATGCACAACAGAAACATGTGCCAGCCTGCTTCCTTAAAGGGTGGTTGTTTTTGTTGTTATGGTGCTGTCGAGTTGCTTGCGACTCGTAGTGACCCTGTGTACAACAGTCCTAAACTCTGCTCTGTCCTGTGCCAATCGCACTGTTTCCCATCCTGATTACCCCAGTCACTGAATCAATCCATCTTATAGAGGGCCTTCCCCTCCTGGGCTGTCACTCCTCCCTCCCAAGTATGATGTCCTTCTCCAAAGACCAGTCAGCCCCTCCTTACAACATGTCCAAAGTATGTCAGACAAAGCCTCAGGATCCTTGCCTCCAAGGAGCAGCCCGGTTTAACCCTTTCCAGCATGAATCTGTTTGTTTTCCTGGCAGTCCATGATACTCTCAATACTCTTCTCTAGCACCACAGCTCAAAGGCATCAATTCTCCTTCTATCCTCCTTTGTGAATGTCCAACTCTGATGCATAACAAGTGATAGCAAAGACCATGGCCTATATCAGATGCACCTTATTCTCCAGAGAGACTCCATTGCTCCTCAGTACTTTGGAGAGGTCCCTAACCGCAGACTTTCTGATTGCAATATGTCTTTTAATTTCCTGGCTACTGGTGGCCGAGTGTATTGACTGTGGAGCCAAGCAGACTAAAGCTGTGAACAATCTCAGTCTCTTCACCATCCATCAGATGCTGCCAGTTGGTCCAGTGGTGAGAATCTTTGTCTTCTTGACAATGAGCCTCAATCCTGTTCTGCATACAGGTTGAAAAGGTATGGAGACAGGGACCTTTAAAGGGTTACCACTCTAAAAAAGTGTAGTGTACACTGTTCTAGGTCCTTTAGGGTTTCTGTCACCTCAGCAGTAGTGGGTTTAATACAACCTGTTCCTTTGTCCTGGACGAGGCATAGACTGTAGTAGGAGCATCAGACTGAATTCTGGGCTCTCCTAGCCATTTATAGTTAAAATCAGCTCCATGATGTTTTTAATTGTGGGTTAAGGTGCTTTCTGAGGAATCTGATAAACAGCTGTTAAAATTTTAAGTTATATTTGTTCTGTTGTTAGGAATATGCACAGCAAAAGATATACCTAGTAAACAGTTTCTACTGTTTAGTAATAATTATTACATTCTTGAAGTTGTTCAGTATTCTCACCCTCCATTTTAGAGTTGTTTCTCATATTAAAAAAACTCAACTGCCCTCTGAGGTTTCTCTCTAATGTTTAGTGTTGCTGTTGGCTGTTTGATCCTCTGGATAGACACTAACAGTATTATCTCAGACGAATAGCTTGATGGTCACATCTGTGCTCCGTGACTCCAAAAGGTCTAGAGCCCATGAGAATTTTGAGATTCTGTACGGCATTTTCCTTTACGTTTTTTTTTTTGTTTTGTTTTTTTTAATTGTGAAAGAGTATAATGACTAACCTACAGTTTCTTTTTTCAGATTATCTTGATAATGGTAATAATAAAATGGCAATTCAGCAAGCTGATAAACTGCTGAAGAAACATAAGGATCTTCATTGTGCTAAGGTAAAAGCTTCATTGCCCTTGAGTTATGTTTTATGGGTTGTATGGTGTATTTCTTTACTTTAAAAGAGGAGCCTGGCAAGGGAGCTCTGGTGGCCTAGTGGCAAAGAAGCTGCACTGCAATCCTGAAGGCGTGTGGTTCAAGTCCACCAGATGCTCTTCTGGAGAAGGAGGGGCAATTTCCTTCTGTGCCAGTCTGATCAGATTTGATGGTACACAACAAGAAAAGGGGGGGGAAAAGAATTTTAAAAATAAAAGGAAAAAATAAAAAGAGGAGCCTGATGACACAGTGGCTAGGGCAGTTTGACTGCTGACCAGAGGGTTGGAGGTTTAAACCCACTGACCACTGCATGGGAGAAGGATTGGGCAGTGTGCTCGGTCCACATTGATAGCCGTGCTGTTCTGAAGCGCAGTTCTGTGTGTGCTACAGAGTCTTTCTGAGTTGGAATTGACTCAGTCAGTGACTCTGGTGACTTTGAGTTTTAGTTTTATTTCCTTCAAGAACCATTATTTGTGATTTATTTCACAGTGCTATTCAGACCATTAATTTTTTAAATTTATTTGAGGGAAAGTTTAGAAATTCATATTGGTTTTTTCAAAACTACACTTGCCATTTATTTTCTTGATCATCTAAATAATTCTCAATGGTAATTTTTTTTTAAACATTATGATTAGCTCATTTCCCCAGGACCCTTTGATGTTGTACATGTAATATTGTACACATTTAGTGTAACTGCAATAGGAAAGAATTTGTTTTTCCTTGTGTGCCTTTGAGTCGGATCTGACTGGCACAGGAGGAGATTGCCCATCCTTTTCCAGCAGAACATCTGGTGGATTCGAACTGTACACCTTCGGGATTGCAGCACAGCTTCTTGCCTCTAGGCCACCAGAGCTCCCTAGGAAAGGATTTTGAATTGCTTTTATTTTTTGTCCTAAGATTCCTTTGCTTGAAAAGCGATCCAGGTGTCTTTTACAGGTTGTTCCTTTGAGTGGGCTTTCTTTATGTCCTTGTTGCTGTGTTATGACCATTGTTCTTTGTTTCCTGCCAGGTTCTCAAGGCAATCGGTTTGCAGAGAACTGGTAAGCAGGAAGAAGCGTTTGCCTTGGCGCAGGAGGTGGCCGCACTTGAGCCCACCGATGACAACTCGCTTCAGGCACTGACCATTCTTTACCGGGAGATGCACCGACGTACGTGGCTTTCCCTCCCTTATTCTCAGAACCTCCGCTTGAATTCTCTGCATGCTTTTGTCAGAATGGAGCCCTGTGGTTTAGCAGGTTGTGGGCTGAGCTGCTGACCCCATGGTCAGCCTTGGGGTCCACCTGGTGCTCCACGGGACCAGGATGAGGCAGTTGTATACGGCCTTGGGAAAGGATGGAGGACTGCACCGCGAGTCAGGACGACTCAAGGGCAGGAACACTTGTGGATTTGTCCAGCTGACTTGTTCTGTATGATTTGAGGGTGTGGAAACAGGATAAACAATGGCAGGTGATTCCTTAATCATAATTTAGAGTTGGTAGCCAGAAAAGATACTATACATATGTTAGAATTGGAACAAGGATGAGATTGAACTAAGTGGTGTCATTGTCATAGGAAAATTTAAACACAGACTGAAGAAGATAGAATGATACTTAAAAAAAAAATTACCTAATTTTGTTACTCTCTCCTTCCAACTATCATTAACGTGGGGTCAGTTTTATTTTATCTGTGACCCTCCCAGAGTTTTTTTTGTTGTTGTTATTATGTACTGTCAAGTGGGATCCAAGTGGCACAGTAGAGCATCTGGTGAATTTGAACCTCATGCCTTTGGGATTGGAGCACAGCTTCTTGCCACTAGGCCACCAGAGTTCCCTCCAGATTATTTTAAAGCATATCCTAGATAGCCTCTCATTTCATTTTTAAATAAGAGGTTGTTCTAACTAAAGGCTTTCATTTTTTAGAAACACTTTGTTCTAAGTAACATTTTCGTAATGCTGAGATGAATAGTATCTGCCGAGTCATTTCTGACTCGTGGGTGGAAGAAGTTGGAGCTCCTAAGGGGTGTTAAGGCTGTGAGCTCTGCTGGACCGCTGCCCAGCATACCTCTGGGCACTTTCAACTGTAAATCTTGCAGTTAATAGTCAAACGCCTAATTGGTCCTATTGCCCAGGTGCTCTTTTACGGTGAGTGTTAGGAAATAAATTATATATAATAATAAACACTCATGTTTCTCATCAATCTTAATTTTCCTTTTACCCTAAGATCAGATTCTTTATTCTGAATATTTTGTATCCTCTTGCTTTTGTTTAAATCTTTATCACATTGGTATCTTCCAGCTTAATGTTGACCTTCCTCCAATGGGTGGGTGTTTGCGGCAGTAAATCATTGAGGTGATTGCTCCTCTCTCTTCCTTGGAGCTGCTGGTGAGTTTGAACCACCAGAGAGGTGCGGCTTTGATTAGCCTGCTCCCCGTGAGCTGCGTCTCCAGACTTTTTACTGCCATGGAAACATTCACAGGGTGATGGTCTACATTGGGGAGATCATAGGGAGTTTGTGTGGTCATCTTGAAAAGATAAAGAGAATTAATGCTAACTTGTCTTCCAAATTTATTCTCACAACAGCAGATTTCCAGTTGTTCCACATCCTTGTTAATGAGACTTTCTTGGATAGAAAAATTTTTGTCTGTCTGCTGACGCAGATAATGTTGTCTTATGGTTCAGTTTTGTTTTTCATTCTTATAAATGATAAAAGTTGAAGTGTTAGGTGATTAATTGAGAGATAAAGACTTTTCACCTCAATATTTTTTTAATATATATATTGTAAAAATTATCTATTCCACAAATACACCTTGTTTCTCTGCAGTGTCAAGAATGAAAGTTGCTATTTCAAACTGTGTAACTCTTAGTCTATAAAATATGGATCAGTTGGCAACATACTGAAATAGATATTTATCACTATAACAGTTATTTAGAAGATTCAAAGATGATAGGCAGAGGTGGAGGAGCAGAGGCAGTCATGGTCAGGGAAAGTCTGGAGACAGGATTACCTTCGTATGGTCGTAGCCACTGTGTAGAAGAGGGAGGAAGAGAGTCTAGACAGAGGAAGCCATGTAAATAACAGAGGGTTGAAACAGCACTGAAAATCGATAGGAGCTACAAATAGTTTGCTGTGGCTTGAGCATAAGGTCTTGGGCCAGGAGTTAGTAGAGAGCCAGAGAGGCAAGGTCCTTGTTTGTGAACGAGAGACCCCCCTGGCCTACTCTGAGCTTCATCAGAATGACATTCAGCCAAGATGAGGGAGTTGATGAAATGAGAGAAAGAAAATACTGCTTCCTTAATGATAGGAGCTACCTATTTCTGCCAAAAAAGAAAATGAAAATGCAATGAAATGCTGTCAGGCTTTCTTGGATCATTGAATTTAACTTCTATCTTATTTCTCTTTACTTCAGCGGAATTAGTTACAAAACTTTATGAGGCAGCTGTGAAGAAAGTTCCTAATAGTGAAGAGTACCACTCACACCTCTTCATGGCTTATGCCCGAGTGGGCGAATACAAGAAAATGCAACAGGTAATTCCATTCCCCAAACCTCCAGTGTGTGTGATTTCCTATGAGAGAGGAGAGTCTTACTGTGATTCGGTGGTGGTGTGTATGTAAAATGGAATTTATGTACTCAGCGACCAGTTAGTTCTCCTTGTGTGCTTTAAAGGAAGATGAAGTATTATTCAAATTTTGGAAGTGATTTATTTGGAAAAAGTTCTTTTGTGGCTGTGTGTCATGTTTTGTTTGGTTCTGATAAATCAACTTGGTTTTGTCACTGATTGAAATTGTTCATTTTCCAGCAAATGGGTCAGAATCCCAAAGCAAAAATGAGCAGATATAGAAAAAGCAATGTATTTAGACAAATTTACGTCTCATTTGTAAAGATAATTGTTTATGGCTTGCTGAGAATTTTGTCAACAGGAAAAATTCTCTGGCCTGTGAGGTAGGTTTTTGGCCTCAGGCAGCTTATTTAGTATTCTTTAGGTGTCCCTATGAAAGAGTCTTGTTTGGACCAATGCAGAAAGAGTTGACAGAGATGCCAGGGAAATGAAAGGCACACAGTTTAGCACATAACAAGTAAAGAAATCAAGCATGTGTACGTCTCATTTCCTAGAGGGCAAAGCTTGCTGCTTTGAGTATTTGCTGTGTCTTAGTCTTTATTTGAGATATCAAACTGTGGCATGATTCAGACAGGGCAGAAGATGCTATATTAATAGAAAGCTTTTCTTCTTAAAAACAACCTTTATAAAGGGGCCCTTTAGAGTAGTGAGAGAAGATCTTCACCTGAAACCCACAGCGTCCCTTTTCAGCAGGAAGTAGCTAAGAGAATACGCCATCCCCTTTTC